TGCAGCTTTGAGGCCAAAGCATGAGAGCAGGGCAGTCCCAGCCTGAGCCTGGAGTCTTCCTGAGGAGGTTTTATTCTTGGCTTGCCTTTCCCTCAGCCAGCTGCCAAAGAGCAGTAGATGGTCTGATTTCACATCGGTTCCCTTGCCTTTTGTCCTCATCAAATTTCCCTGCTTTCCCAAATCCCTGTCCCCTTATGCATTCCTTGATGCAACACTCCTCAACGTCCTCTGCATGCAGACTTAGATGCCCCCCACCCCCCAAAAATAAGGTCTTGTTGTGACCAGGCTTTCAGAGGGGAAAAATTGAACTGAGAACAAAAGCCCAAGTAGAGGTTCCTGCTGCTTTTCTGTTACCATTTAAGTGTGATGCCATAGCCTCTGCGGATATGGCTTAATCATTTAATGACCTATTAAACTTGCTTCCCTGAGTGAAATCAAATTTAGTGTCATTTAGAGGACTATCAGGTAAAATAATAATTGATTTATGGTTGCATATTAAAATAGTCCTATTATTCAAATTTTTATATAAACAGGCTAAAAATAATATTTTCCATTCTTAGAATTTTGTCCAAAGGAAGAGCCCTTTTAAAAGGAGGATTTTTCAAATGCGCATTTAAGAAGTTCATGTAACGTTGAAGGGCTTTAGTTCATACCCATGATCCCTGGACCCATTTCCCAGCAGTAACTTACAGCAGGGAGCCTATTATTACTTTTTTTTTCTTCTTCTTCTTCTTCTTTTTACAATGTTCGCTTCCAGATATCTTTTCAAGCAGGAACATCTCATATATGTATCCTTTGCTCCTCCATGCTCAGACCCAAGCACCCTTTCTGCACCAGTCATTTTCCTTATTCATTGTGTGTGTGTGTGTGTGTGTGTGTGTGTGTGGTTTTGAGACAGGGTCTTGCCACATGTAGCCCAGGTTAGCCTTACTGCTGTCAATCTTCCTATGTCACACTCCAAAGAGACAGCCAGCCATTCATTCAGTGGCAGCAGGTACCCTTTGGCAGATGGGATGTCCCAGGATGGATGGTGAATGCAGCCCCATCTCAGCCAAGAACACAGAGAGCGTTATCTGATCAGACCCTTTGTAGTGGTCATTTTGATTTATCCTCGCAAATTTAAACTCCCTGCAGTTTTTGTTTGCTCGGTGTTCTCAAGGGCTATTCTTCAAGCCAAACAGCTGCCGTTTTCATCAAATCAGCCATGCTTGCTCACAAGTGCATCACCAGAAGGGTGTGGGGAGGGACATAGGATCCTCATCTGGGACTCCATCTGATCCCTCTTGCACCTTCTAGCTATTTGTGCGCAATTCTGCTCACAATGTAAGTGACCGTAGGTTAGGGAGTTGCTAGAGTATATAAATAGGGAAAGGTTCACTATAGGGGGAAATACCATCTATATGGCTATGAAGTAGTCATTATCCATGCTGAGTGGGGTTTCCCTGGGTCCTTTCCCATAAGAAGTTTCTCAAATTGCTCCGTGAGTAAGCTTGATAAACTTACCGGTTTCCCGACTTAAACTTTGGTGAGATCAGACCTTGGTTTGTTACTGGGATCTTCTAAAGAGGAGGTATATATTGTTTATGCTTCCCCAGGGAAGGGATTCTCACAATATTCAGGATCCTTCTTTTAGCAATTCTTCAGGAAGCCAAACCTATGCCTTACAGAGTGGCTTTTGATCCTAGTCTGGAACTGACAGAGGAAAGAATTCAGAAAGCCAGATGTGTATCTTCTGGTTGCCTGGAAACTGAGTGATAGAGCTAAGGCAGCAGTATTTTCAAGTGAGCACTTTTTTTTTTTTTTTTTTTTTTTTTTTTTTTTTTTTGAGACAGGGTTTCTCCATGTAGCTTTGTAGACCAGGCTGGCCTTACAGTGATCACCAAGCTATGAGCACCTTGTTTGCTCTAAGCAGAAACACTTGGGTGAAGTGGAACCAGCTATGATATCTACCTTATGGAAGCATCTGGAAGGGTAGGTGTATTCAAGGAATCTGAAGGGATATGCCCAAAGCAGTGATATAACCAACCTCCCTATAGACTTAGACCCTTTAGGAGCTGCTGCCTTCTAAGTGTAAGGTTGTGATCATTTTCAACTTGACTTGGTTTAGAATAATCTAGGAGGCACATTTTAAGTCATTGCTGCGCCCATGCAGCCAGAGGACCGAGCTTGTCTGAGGGTGTCAGGATTGAAACAGTTAACAGACCACCATGAGAAGTGAAGAGGAAGCTGCTGTGGTTTATTACAGAGAGTAATGGGCTTACATACCAAGCCAGGGGATGGGCTAAGCATAGGAGGAAGTCATGCACCACCCACACCTGGGGTTAAGGCATGGGCACTGCACACCGGAAAGTTATGAGAACAACCTTGTTTGATCAACCTTGAGAGCATGGGAGTTCTACAGCTGTGTGGGGAGGGAGAGAACTGTAAGGGACAAATACTTAAATTTCCCAACAATGCATATCAATGAAGATATTTCTACACCAAAATCCCCCATTTAGTTGGCTTCTTTGCTGGGAAAAAATGGTGGTAAAATAATATGCATTTCAGTAAGAAGATACTGGGTACCCATGCACTATTAAGACAAAATCGAATTTCAAATTATATCTAGATTTGTTAGTGAAGCAACAATGTGTGTATTGTGTGTATTGATAACCTAATAGTACATGCAGACATATAGTGACTTGCTTTCTCTCTGTCTTTCTCTCTTCCTCTCTCTCTCTATATATATATTTACATATTTTAATAATATATATATATATATATATATTTTTTTTTTTTTTAAACCAAATTTTGGAATTCCCCTGAGCAAAACAAAACCACTATCTTTCTTTCAAACCCATGGTAGCTCATATCTAGAAAACCCAGGTCATATTGAATCAAAATGTTTGCATGAATCAAAATGTTTGCACAAATAAAATGAAATCTAGGTCTAGGCTCAGATAACAACAGGGCTTTTCGTCTCTAAGAATCTCAGAGGTCATAGAAAGTGTATGGAGAAATACTTCTATTTGGTGAAGAGCCATCATCAGTGGGGATATCTAGCAACTCTCATTACATATCAATTTGCAAGTTCCCTCTTCCTCCTACTCAATGTGATACCCAATAACACAGATTTCTGAAATGCCCCTAGTTGGGTACAGAGAGCAAATGGCATAGCTTGAATGGTGCTTGTGGCTCTTTGTGAGAACCCCACAGGGGATTTTACTGACTTTGTCTACGCCAACATTGACAGTTGCAGAACATTCATACATGTCAATGTGCCAGCTATTAGGGTACATGAGTTCTGTAGTGATACCATTTACATATTGACCTTTTGCAGCTGGTTACAAACGTTGCTGTGATCTTTCTACAATAGTTTTGTGTACTTGTGCAATCAAAGCTCATAGTCAAAAAGTACATGTTTTCTGAGACAGCTGTCCTGAGCTTGTGGGAGCTCACGAACAGACAGCTTAGGGAACCCCTTGGGACCGGCCTAGGCCCTCTGATCAGGGTGACAGTTGTGTAGCTTGGACTTTTGTAGGACCCCTAGCAGTGGAAGCAGGACCTGTCCCTGAAGCATGAGCTGGCTCTTTGAAACCTATTCCCTATGGTGAGATTCCTTTCAGCCTTGATGCAGGGGGGAAGGAGCTTGGTCCTGCCTCAGCTTGATGTGCCTTGCTTTGTTGACTCCCATGGAAGGCCTTACCAGATCTGACTGGAGACAGAGGAGTGGATGGGGGAGGGGTAGAAAGGAAGTGGGGGGGGGGGAGAACAGGAGAGGAGAGAGGGGAAACTGGTTGGTATGTAAAATAAAAAATTACACGTTTTAATATTTTTATTAGGTTTGTCAAATTGTTCTCTAAATTATTGTCAAATATTCTTATTGGTGGCTTTTTCCATGCCTGTTCTGACCTTCCATTCCATCTTGTTTTTTTTTTTCTTTTCTTTTTGAAGATGAAAATGAGGATTTTCAAATGTCCAACTAAAAGCTGTTTTCAGCTTGTATTACATTAGTTGGTTGCTGTCAGCCCTGATTCGTCTCTGTATGTATATAGGACATTCCTATGGAAGAGAAATTGGACTTCCAGTGTTTTCTAGGGTACAGCAGGGGTCATGAGTGTAGACAAATAGAAGCTTTGGCACCAAGAAGGAAAGATGCTTCAAAGAACTCTAGCCACCCAGCTAATGAGTGGGCCTGCCCGGAGAGATAAGGAGTGTGCTGTCCTCATACTGGAAATTTTCAATTTCAGGCTGGATGGACAACAGCAAAGTGTTCAAGGAGAGATTCCTGAGTTCAGCGGCGTGTGCAGAGAGGTCAGTGCAGCCCACAATACAGCATCTGGGATACAGTGTGCATGTGAAATGAGTTTTGGTGGAATGAACTTTAAAAACGTTTTAATTGGTGTGTGTGTGTGCAGTTGTCTATGTCAGCATCATGTTGCTGTGTGACTAGCAGATCATGCATCATAGGAACAAAGGTGGCACATGGGAATAAACTGGGAGCAGAAATAAGCTCCACAGCTTCTAGGTCTTTTGAAGTCCCAGACTCTGTGATTCTAAATCTAACCTCAATCCCGATAAAAATATCAATTAGACTTCTAAATACCAGCCTGTTACATTTATTGCAACAGAAGAAATAGCTGCAGAAGCCAAACGTAGTACAACCAAGTATGAAAATATTTGGAGTTTGGTGCAGGGGTCACGTTTTAGTTAAAAATGAAAGCCTTAAATTGCAGATAACAACCTATCTGAAATTACATTCACATGAATAGTTAAGGGGAAATACTAATAATTTGAGGAATCTGTCAGCATTTGCTATATTTTAAACGGATTGTGAAATAAAATAAGCACAGGTGTTGCTAGTGGCATTCCTTTACCCCATCAGCACTTGTAAGACCTACATTGATGGGAAAGAAGCATGGTCTCTCACACTCACGCAAACCTCTAAGACTGCCATGAAGACACCATCCAGTCAGTTCAACCCACGATGGACTTAAAGTACAAGCTTCTGCACTGGAGAGCTGAAGCAAATATTTATTTAATTACATATAAATTGTACATGATGTTCATGGGTCTATAAACACAAACAGATTTTAAAAATCAATTCAAGATACACCCCCAAAACCACCCCCACCCTTCATTGATGCCATTCATTAAATACCTCTGTCTGGGTGCTTCATAATAATTGAATAGTTTGATTTCCATTACTGAGATTGTGTTAGAAATAAAGGACATCTCTATCGGTCTTCTTCAAATGCCTATACGATGAGGAAGTAGTGTGCACATATTACCAGACCAATGAATTTACTCTTCTGGCAACTGAGCAACAACCCACTAACAGAGGATTGTTCACCTGTATTGGTTTTCATCCAGGTACAAGCATCATCAGTCCTATAATTCACAGAACTAAGAACAAAGCAAACTGAGAAAGAATTCTCCCAAGTGACTAATTTGATTCATTGACCAAGACACTAATGAAAAATACACCATAAAGTCATTATTTAAATATGATGCTTAGAATCCAAGCTGAGAAATTATAGTATTTGAAACTGACTCATCATAGCCACTCTGATATGATATACCTTAATTAGGAGAAAAAAAAATCATTCATATACACAGTTCTCTTAGTAAAATTTTCTATTTCCTGCTAATAACACATTTTAATTTACTTCAGAAAAATGCATTGATCTTATTCAAATATATTTTCCTAAAATATAAATATTTAAATTAAAAGTTTAAAAATGGAGAAGACAGTTTTTGTTGACTCTTACACAGATATCAGTCTAAAACTTAAGCAATAAAGAAACCACGTCTGTAATTATGACCAATTTAATTTGTCTATAAATATATAATAGAATCTTTGCAACTTGAATAATTAACTCAAACTTCATGTAGTACCGAGCACCTTAGATTACATATTGTTGAATGAAACTATTGGCATTAATATATGTATCATGTTATTTACAATACATAAGTATAGTTCTCTTGTATAACAACATTCCAGTGATTTCTGAAAATATATAGTGTGAAAGTGTGCAATACAATTTACAAATGCATCAACGCTTTCCCACAGAATTAAAGCTGGCCTTCACTCTTCAACATTTTAAAATAAGAAACCAACCAAAAGTCAATGTCCTATGGTGGATTTGCTAAAGTATTGTCCATAAAACCTACTAGCTTCACAGAGTCCCCATTGCAAAGAAGTGCAAGGCATGGAACTCTCACCCCTATCTTGAAGACTGTGATCAACGAAGACCAGGATTTTTGGGGGAGGCTAGCAACCCCAACAAAGCCCTAATGTGTCTTAAGTTGCTTCTTCATCACCAAGCCCCTAAATCACCACCCCAGTGAGAATACTGCTCAGTGTCCCTTGGAAATGATTATATGGGATGTGCTTCAGGAAACTGATGGTTTAAAATACAACTGCAACTCAGTAAACCCACACATCTGAGGAAGCTGAATCACAGGCATTTAGGCTGTTTCACTTTGCATAGGTGTCTGCTAAACTATGACTCTTCCAACACATAGGCAGGACACAGAGCATGTGCTAATGTAAAACTATATGGAAAAGAAGAACTAAAAAGAATCATAAACTCTATGGCTAATTTTCAGGGCTTGTGAAAAGTAACTCCAAAATCAAATAACGAGTGTAGATTTTAGTGAATGATTCTTGAAAGGGAAAAATGAAAGCAAAAGCAATAAGTTCTAATAGGCTAGATATTGCCTCAAAATATGCTTGTAGAAAAATATCAGGTCATTATACTATTCCTCTGAAATTCCAAAATTAATGTAGATGCTATCTGTAGATTTGATTAAACTTCTGGTTCTGTACGTCTAAAACAGCATCTCCCTTACTTTGAAATGCACACATGCAAGCACAGGCAGAAACAAGGACCATTGAAAGGTACTTCCACTGAACACTGTGAAATGCAGATAGCTAAACACCGACTGTGTGACCAGTGGTGTGTGTGTGTGTGTGCACACGTGTGTGCACGCATGCGCATGTGCATACATGTGTAATGGCAGTCTTTTTAAAGAATTGCTCAGAATTTGATTTCTGTAAATAAGGGGATTGATTTTGGTTATGAGACAGAATCCGTGGTGTAAGTGCAGTGTCTGAATTAGTCATCATTTGAATATGCAACTCTTTAGGAAAGCTTCGTAATCGCAACAGTCCACTTTGGCTCAGATTCTGCCAGCTTAAAGCTCAGCTCAGTATCCAATGCCTTATTTCATTTCTGTTCAGCCTATGTGAACGAACAAGAACACTTTTGAATCACTCTACACCAACTTCACTCATTAAGAAAATTAAATAACATGCTTCATTCTTAAATAAAAGCCAGATTTCTCTTTGCCTACTGTTCCTCTTCTTTTTTCTTTTCTTGTTTTTTTTTTTCTCTTCCTACCAATGAAAATCAGCTCTACTTGAATCAGAAAATCAATCATAATGAAGCAAGGGAGCAGTATTAATGCAGGTAGAAGTGTAGGTGAGACTCTGCATTTCTCATCTGCTCAGCTCTGGCTTACCTGGGTGGACCGGTTGCCTGGAAATGGATATGATCAAGATCTACACATGCTACTGTAATGGCCATATCCTTGGTTGCCACTATGTAGAAGATATTCATTTGCCCTCACCCCCTTAACCTCGATTTGTTTTAAGAAGTTCTAGTCTGACATCTCTTGTGGTATTTCCTTTAGGGTGTCCCTTGCAGTTCCCCAAACTGGCAGAGGAGCCTGGGATACTACACGTGACTCCTGAGACCCGAAGCTGGCTGCTGATGCTACATTTGGTGCACTGCCTGATGTCACAGTCCTGTGTCACTGCAGTCTTTCCTTCCTATGGCAAGTCGCCTCTCCGTTCAGGCCACCAAGCCCAGTCTTGTAATCTTAGCAGACAGAAAGGAATGGATGATGAAAACGATTGGCTTGGGGCACGAGTGAAGGTCGAGTTGCTGAAATTTAAAAAGAGGGGAGCATGAGAGAGCTTCAATTAATGCCTGGTGTAGCATAGTGATTTTCACATCGAGCCACCCTACACACAGTCCTCACTTTGGAGTGTTAAATCTTTGTTCGCAGTGAGATAAGGGAATGACGCTCCCAAATGTTCCTTATATCTCCCATAACTTTTTGTCTAAAACAGCTTCTAATGAATTTACCTATGACAATTCCATAAATACCGATGGGAACTTCTTCTTTGTCTAAACCGTTTGTTTGCAACTCCACAATAGAGATGTTTGTGCTGAATTTCATGCAGCACGTAGCAGTTCAAATTTCACATCTCAAGTTGTTTGGTTCTTGCTTCTGACATTTTTTTTTTATGTCTAATCTTGGCCAACTCACTTAAAATTCTTCTCAGCCCTACTAATATGCAAGGCAATTAGAGTATTAAATAAGATCCTGCATGTGAAACTGCCTTGTGAATTGAGAATACAGTGCTCATACTTAACATTCCCGTCTTTACCACCGTCTACTCTTGAGCCATTGTGGACATATCGATCACATCTCCCTGAGGGTGACATCGAAAGTATTAGCCTTCTCAGTGTGGTTCATGTACAACCCAGAACGGGCCTGGCTAGAGCATCAAACACCTTCAGAAGGTGAATTATCACTTGACCCGAGTTAGAAAATTTTGGGAAATCTCTGCTGTCCTAAGTTTTGTTCTGATGGTGGCACTTCTGTGCAATGAGGACAAAGTGAGTGTGCCAGAGCATCTACCAAACTTAAGATAGTGTTGTTATAGGGTGGTGTCTTGGTTTCTGTTTTATTGTGTGTTGCTATGACAAAATGTTCTCACAAAGGCAACTTAAGGGTGTATCTTAACTCACAGTTTAAAGCATAGTGCATCATGGTGGGGATATCAAGGCAACAGGAGCTTCCAACAGCTAGGCTGGATACAATGGATACCCAAGCAGGAATTAGGATGAATGCATGCTGCAGCTCTAGGATCCTGGCTAGGGGATGGTGCCACCCATTGTGGTATGGTGTGTGTGTGTTTGGGGTGGTGGGGATACTTCTACCTCACTTAATGCAGTCAAGATAATCCCTCATAGTCAAATCCCCACGAAATAGCAATTAACACTGTCTGCATTTCTCAAAAGGTAAAGCTAAGATCTAGACATGTATTAAACTTTATGAAACCACAACTTTTGCAGTCAGTAAGGAAGTGTGAACTCACACTGAAATCTATCCGACATCATAGCTGGAGATTATTTGCCATATTCCATGCCACTAAAAGAGGACACAATTTTGAAAAGTGGCATTAAAAGCTGTCTCCCTCAATCTCTGCAGTTTATACATAGGGTGACTTGAATCCCAAGCAATAAAAGGAACAAATTAGCATTGGATACAAGCAAGGATTAAACAAGAGACAAATTTGTTTGTTCTCAATTTGCTATAAAGCAGTTGCCTTTAAGAACGAGCACACAGATGGATAATTGGTAGGCCAGGAATGAATGAAAAGTGTTTTAATGAAAGGGACTTTCCTGTCACTACCTCATTTGAGTCATGACCTTAGGCTGCATTTAAAGAGCTGGAATACAGAAATGTAAACAAACAAAAAACAACAAAAACCAAAATTCAGAGGATCCACTGGAAAATGGACCAAAACGCTGAGAATCCAATGCAAACTGAAAGGTTATTCTCAGATGGTGAGTAAGAGTCTGCTGTCAGCCTTCATCTTGGAAGTGGTCATCGCTGCCCAAAATATCCTTAGAAACAGCCTGGGCTTGCACTGAGGTCAGTAGTGTCGCGTGATGTGGGACTGCCTAGGTCTGAGGTAAAAGGCCTTTTAACTCTGTTCCCTAGTCAGCTTCTTCAGGGAACTCCAACATACTATCCAAATAGTTCCTAGTAAAGCCCACAGAAGAAACACCCGTACAACTTGTGACAAGAAGCAGGTAGAGGAAAGAGGGATAGTGGAAGTCCAGTAGCTGAATGGAAACAGCTGTTGTTGGTTTTTGTTTTTTCTGTTGTTTTTGTTTTGGCTTGGTTAGGGATTAACCTGTGTGTTTTGAATTTTCTCTGTTCCTATTGTAGCAGGAAGTCAATACATATTTCCTGATGGACACAATGGCTAGGGAGACTAGTTATTGCAAATTCAAGGACATGCCTGCAGTTCTGTACTTGACAGTTTAAGTGACATTCTTCATCTTCTAAGAAATGCCATGGGCCACGATTGTCTGCAGACTGAAGAATGTGCCCTTGTCACCTTCTGGGAAACTGGGTTTCATACAAATATTTACTATGTTGGGGAACAATGACCACAGGAAAACACTAATGTAAACATAAGGACTGTGTACACGGGTGTGAGGTATGTGGCTGTTACCTTAACCAGGAATTGGTTAACTTAGATGAATATAGCTTGATAGTAGCTCCTAACTTTGGTAGCTTTGTCTGTACCCCCTGAAATGATGTCTACTGTCTATTCCCCGACTGACTTTAGGTTTTTGGCCTTGGCAGTGCTTATTTTACATAATTTCCCTCATCCTTATCACCTGACACAATGCCAAGGTCATATCAGCTGCTTCATGCAACTTTAAAATGAATGGTACATAAGTTAAGGCACCTCAGAAATCCTTTTTTATAAGAATTTAATACTAACCTTATGAAGCATCCTCCTTCTAGATTCAAATATTTATGTCATTTTCTAATGAAAAATGAAACCAAAGGAAAGAACTGGAGATAATTGGACCTGTTTGAAACTTCTGAATCCAATCCTGCCTTCACAAATTGCAACTACACCAGGAGTGTGCTATCAGTTGGGTGTGTAAAACTGGAAAGGCAGTCCAGGATTTCCGAGTCATTACAGGTGTGTTCCATAATGAAGCGGATGAAATCATATGGTCATGAGAAAAACACACTTACAATCTCTCCTTCTTTGCCTCCAAAGTCTAAACAGAGCATCCTGATTCCATCATCCGAAGACATTTTGAGCTTCTCATAAGGGGACTGTATGATTGTCTTGGGAAAGGCACCCTCCTGAGGCTCAGTAGAAATAGAAAATCCATTGTCATAATGTATGGTCAAGCGGCATTCCTGGTTTCTGTAGGTACAGGCTGGGATTGGGGGGAGACACGGGGGAAATCAATCCATCAATCCATTTACTTGGGCACTTAACAGTTATAGTTTCTCCAACCTAGTGTCCACCCACAAAGTTCTTATTAAAGTGAGGAAAAGAGGAACAAAGTCCCTACACTTCTTGGATTGAATTTGATGTTGAAATTTGGCAATGGTTAGGAATTGGGATTCAGTACATGTTTTCTGGTATCCAGTGTTTATCTAGTCTTCTGATGTGTATGTTAACAGGAAGGGCATCCTTGACTTCCCATGACCAAGTGGGTCTGGCTTTCAGTCAGACACAACAGACATTTTATTTTAATAAAGTAAGTCACCCAGACATCATCATTACCACCACCATCATAGCATCTTCATGGTTATGCATGAAAGCATGCATGCATATGCGCATGTGTGCAAACACACACACACACACACACACACGCACACACACACACACACACACACACACACACAGTCCTGTCAGCTATTGGTTGAAAGAGGCTAACCTCCTTTTGCTACAGAAGTCATCACATGGAACATATTTAAGAGGTCGTAAGTGAGCAGTTTAAAAATAATCTACCTTTTAAAAAAGTCCCAACAAAGTTTATTTCAGACACTGAAAGGACAGTTTTCCTTTAATTTCCCTTAAGATTTTGGGCCCAGGAAATGTTGCTGCAGACAGATTTGTGGTGTGACACCTTTTATGAGGAATGTTTCTCTGTCCCCCTGCTTGTGTGAGATGTCCAGAAGCTTGGCAGTGGGGGGCAAGCACAGGTCACCTCCATTCCAGAGGAACAAAAAAATAAACCTTGTTAGAATGCTAGGAAGCCTGAATAGTGTAGTTCTGTAAGCCTATTCCTGGAAAGAGAGGGGGCAGTTGCTAGAACCCTAGCTCTTATTGAGGAAGAGTTACACATGTATCCTTTATCAGACTGGGTTTAGTTTCCCTCATAAAACACCATTAACGCATCTCTGTAGGTCGATTGATTCAGGCCTTGACCTATACTTAACAGGATTTTTAAGGAATCCAGGACACTTTCTTTGCTGGGGTGGGGCTAAGAACAGCACTGACTCACGACAGTGTCATTAATTGAGAAACCACTCTGTGTCACCCTTAACTCTGCTCTGCTTTCTAAATATACCGAATACAATTTCACTCCTCACTTCAGAAGCAGAAATATTTCACTAAGATTAGAGGGCTTAAAAAAACTAAAGCTCAGAGAGGAGACTATCGCCACCCGCGACGTTTGGCTTTGAAAATTCAAGTCCTTTGTCCTGTTTCGTCTTCCTTTCCTCATACCCTGGCACTCAGATGCAGAGGTCTCTGGGGCAGGACCTTGACAGTGAGTTTCTCAGCCTTCCTCTATCTCGAATGGTGACAGATGACGACAACTTGATAGGGTTACCTTCAGACATTGGGGGACCTGTATTGGCCACTGTGTTAGGGACCCTTTCAAATGGAATTCTGATGAACACACATGCCCCTTCCCTGATTTCCTCTAAGAATTTTTTATTGTTCTACGAACTGGTCTTTTACAAAGTTTCTCTGACAGCTCTGAGTGCTTTGTCCTCTGCCACCCTACCCCCAGTCCAGGGACAGCAAAGGAGAATGTCACAAAGCTGGCAGTGACGTCCCATCCTTTTGCAGGTTTTCATTTCTTACACCTTCAGCACATGTAAATAAGCTCTAAGCACGGCTTTGTACGAACAAAGCTTTCCGCACGTTTGAACTTGGAAGCCATGTGATTAGTTGTTCTGAACAAGCTGTGGTGGGCTTTGATTCCAGCGGATCTCGAATGGCATCTGTGGATTTTACTGGGTGGGATCAGCTAACCAAAGATGTTCTCAATCTCCAGGGGATAAACTGGACATATGACCATGTTAAGCAAGCTCTGTTGAAAACAGACATCTTCCTCCCCCCATCTCCACAGCCCCCCCCCCCAGTCTCTGGAGGCATCGTCAGCATCGTCCAAGCTGCAACTGGGTTGCCTTTAATCGCTTCCATCACTTTTCTGCTACAATCCTGTTAGCTCAGTTTACCCAATTCCTTGTTATTCTCCTTTAGCTACTATGTCACCAGAGCTGGCATTTTCCTATCAAGGGAGATAGCATCTACATACTAAGTAGGACGTATAAAAACACAGAAAACAACAACAAAATTCTTTTGGACTTCTTCACTCTTCCCTAAAATCATTGCATGGAGTCTCTACTTCACCGATACTACGTGTGTAACTTTATTGAGCTTAGCATTTGAATGGTTTGAGTCCTGTCCAACTCTCATGCTCACAGCCCGTCATTCTTGTCAGATACCGCAGGCACACAGCTTTCAGGAACACTCCCAACAGGTCATCAGCAGCTATAGGAAACATGTAGGGACACAAAGTAGTTTTAAGATAACCAGTCACAGACAGTGATCAAGCCAGGCATGGTGGCACGTGCTTCTAATCCCAGAACCTGTGAAGATGGTCAGTTTGAGGCATGCCTAAACTACATGGTAACATAGTATCTTAAAAAAATGAAATGACTCCCTTTTTTATGGTATCTCTTTTTTTCTCTCTCTCGTCTATCCCTCCCCTGACTCAGTCTTCCTAGTTCCACATGCTCTCCTCTCCTCCCCTTCTCTTTCTCCTAGCTCCCTCTCCACTCATTGCCCAACCCCCCGGATTTGCTCAGGAGATCTTGTTTCTTTCCTCTTCTAGAGGGACCTTGTATGAATATCTTAGGTTCCTCCTTGTATTTAGTTTGACCTACAAGGATGACCCCAACTAACAATCTGAAAAACAGTAGAAAGGCTACCATAAATGCCCTTCCTTGATAATGAGATTGATGACTAACTTATCTACCATCATAGAACCTTATCTAGTAGCTGATGGAAACAGAAGCAGACACCCACAGGTAAACACTGAGCCGAACTGGAATCCAGATGCAGAGAGGGAGGAGTGATAAGAAAATGGGGACAAGACCAGGGTACAGAAACCCACAGAGACAGCTGACCTGAACAAGGAGGAGCTAATGGACCCCCCCCCCACACACACAGACTGATAGCTGGGAATCCAGCATTGGACCAACTCAGACCCCCTGAACATGGGTCTCAGTTAGAAGGCCTGGGCAGTCTAAGAGACCTCAGACAGTGGAACCAGGATGTATCCCTGGTGCATGAAGGGATTTTGGGAGCACATTCCCCATGGAGGGATACTCCCTTAACCTAGAGACAGGAGGGAGGACCTGCTGCCTACTCCAAATAACTTAACAAATTTTGTTGATTCACTCCTGGAAGGCATCACCCTCTCTGTAGAGTTGTAGGGAGATGGGATGGGAAGGTTGTGAGGGGGAATGGGAGAGAGGGAAGGAGAGAGAGAGGGAGGGAGATATAGGGAACTAGGATCAATATGTTAAATAAGAGAAAAATAATAAAAACATTAAAAAATAAATTATAATCTTAAAAAATGAAATGAAAGGCACTGGTTATCTTGGGTATACTGCAGCAGAATTTGTACTACACATTTAGAAGCAATGTGGAAAAGCCCTGCCACATGCTTCTCTGTGCCCCATCTTTTAGCATGTTCCTGGGTAACTGAGAAGTGGTACCCTACTCCAGTACTCTTCAAAGAGTGTCCCATGGTCTAGTAGCATCACTGCTTCCTGAAACTTGTTAGTGAGAATTCTCACACACCACACAATCATGTGAATCTGAGGGAGGAGAGGGCTGCCCATGCCTCTGAGTAGAAAATTACAGTTTTGTTATTTATTGGTACAGGGAAATCTTGGGATGTCTTCTCTAGCTGTTCTGTGGGGAGACTTGATCCTCGAGATCGCAGTGGCACACAGTGGAGCCTGATGGACATGTCACAGATGGACACCCTCCTGAGAAGTAGCTCTTTAGCACATTTGGCAAGGGAACTCGAAAGGTAACACAATTGATGAGCTGTTTCTGACAGCAGACTTCTCCCTACCTGTTTCTGCCCCTTCATTCGTGACAGGGACAGAGAGAGCTCTGCTGAAGTTCTGGAACTTTCCTTTGGCTCTAATCCCCCACCACCACTCAGATGCCCTTCATTCCTATTGTTCCTCATGGACCGAGTCCCCAGTTTACTCAGATTCAGGTCCTACTATTCATTACCAATAACCCTTTTAGTTTATGGCCCCAAATTCCTTTCCTTCTGGAAGTTATCCATGGGGTCATAGGTAGGAGGATGGGAAGTAATCCTCCAAGTTACCAACATCTCTTTAATGAAGATGAGATGAGGTGGTATACAAGAAAAGCCCCTAGTTATGTCTCATGAGGGCAAACAGTGCCTAATTGAAAAAAACAAAAACCAACCAACTAACCAAACAAACAAACAAAAAACAAGTTTGACTCTAGAATTTTAAACATCCTCAAAGACCAGTGATAGAAAGACATTGAGGATTCATCTTTCCTGTATTTGTGTGTCAGCTCGTAGGCAGCAGTACTCACCAGCGGTGATTTCAGTAGTAAGCTCGGCTGAATTGTGGCACCCCTGTACTATGCTCCTTGTCCAGTGGGAGAGGTCCCTGCTGATCTCTGCCCTGAAGAGATGTGTTTCAATTCCTTGCTTAGTACCAGTTCGTGTTGCAAAGGATAGATCCATGGCAGCCTGGGGTGATCCTTTCCCTGGACCTGAATGGACAAGCCTGGAGGGGAGGGGTGAGGGAAAGAAGGAGAGAACTTTTAAAAACTGCACCTGGCACATCAGCTAGTAAAAGCCCCAAAGTGACGCACTGCCCTCATCGCTGTGATGCCAAGACGTGACTGGTTTCCCACCATCTCCCCAAGATCGAACACCATCGAGAACCGTGTGTGCATTTGGTTAAATATGCAGAATATTTGAATAACAAGACATACCTTATGCAAATCCAAATATGCTTAGTAAATAAACAAATAGGTGAATGGGTGAGGGAAAAAAAAAAAAAAGACCGGAATTCTGTGTAAAATTCTCACTGGTCCAATTCCAACCATGCAAATGCATATTCCCTCCTGGTCACAAGAAAGGAAGATGAATCTATTGTACTAAATGGGCGTGAGACTCAATTTGTCACGTCCCATAGCTGGCTGTACTGAACACACCTCTGGGTACCATGCGGTTGTGCAGGCAGGCCCTACAGACAAGCAAACAAGTGGGGAGCAATCTATTTCTGCACCAAAGCTGGAGAAAGAACGAGAAATGTTAGACTTACAAGGAAAGGATAGAGGGTTGCCCTTTAGTGGACATTTATGGGAATTTTCAGAAGTGTTATTTTCCAGTTACAAAAGATTTTCACACTGACTTCAGAGCGTCTCCTTGGTGTAAAACGTGACTTCTATAGTAAATAATTCCCTGAAAGGCCAGAGTTAAATCAGGAAGAATCAAAGTGTAGCACTGCTGGCTCTCATTTCTCACATGGCCCCTGGAATCACGCTCTCTCCTGCTTGATATTTCGGCCTCCTCTTCAGAGTGGCTCACGTTAGTCATGTCATTTCTCTCCAGGGTATTTGTATTTTCATCCTTACCCAATATGGAAAGCAACACTACTATTTGCCTGAAAATAGCCACCTATTGGGTGAGCATTACTTTCTTTAGGCAAAGAATTTGTTACCTTGAGGGTTAAAGTATGTGTAAGGAAATCTGAAAAGTTGAACATCTTAACTTTCAATGCAGAAAGGAAAAATTTCTAAGCCACAGTCTGTAGTGCCTCTTTATAATGCTTATTTACACACGGCCCACTCAAGTCTCAAAGCAAGGTGGATCAAAATGGATCAAGCCTTGAAGAGCCACAGTTTGAAAGGAGAGCCCTGTACTCATCCTGATTCACGATCTCTTTATTTCAGCCCCTGTTCTCAGGGTACCTATTGTAGACTTCTTCTTTTTGTATTAAACAAAAAAGGGGAATTGTGGTGATTTATTTATGATTTAGTAAAGTTAGCTTTAGGATTCAGAAAGCAAAGCCAGCCTCAATATGCAAAGATGCCCGTGCAATGGACTGATACAGGAAGAACCAACTCTGTATCTTTGGTTATTAGTGATGTTGACTTGAATGTGAGAAAGGTTGCAAAACAAACCCAGAAGTGATGCTTCTTGAAGAACAACCAAGCTTCAAAGCAATCCATGTTCTTGCTCAGGAGGAGTACACAGCAAGGCCTGGGAAGGCCCTTGCCTTGGCGTAACTCAGTCAGGGCTGCAGGCAACACTTTGAACCAAAACCCCATGATGGGAATTAAACAGGTGACAGCCCTGTCCTCGTCACACAGATCAGATCACACCAGAACTGCAGCAGCACCAAGAACCTAAGTCATTAATGCCCTTTCTGGATTTTGGCTCTTCTAGGTGGAGGCACATGGTGAATACATGATTTCCCCTTGCTAACTTAGTTGAGGTAGGAACAAAGGCTACAGGTGCCAGAATGTGATCACTTGATAAGCACCATTGTTCCAGAATGTGATCACTTGGTAAGCACTATTGTTCAGGTGTCAAAGCTGACAACTGCTGGACAAACACGTTTCAGGGAACAGACTTGATGTGTATGTGTGCGCATGGTCTACACATACAAAAGCCAGAAGAAGTTTCTTTCCCTATTACTGCTCTCTACTTTACTCTCTTGAGACAGAGTCTCCATGAATCTGGAACTCATGTTTTCAGTTAAACTGGTTGCCTAGCAAGCCCCAGGGAGCCCACAGTGCAGGGATCATAGATGGGTAAGAGGCACTTCTGAGGATCTCAGCTCACGTCCTTGTGTTTGCATAGCAGGTGTTTTAAGCCACTGAGCCATTTCCCTAGCCCATACAGTTGTCTTGATAGTAGAGCTCACAGCAAGCACGGTGCCTCCTCTTGAGGTCAGGCCCCTCCTCAGGTTCCTTAGTAGACTTTGTCACTGGAATAAGAGCCTGCTCTGATGCCTCCTTGATTAAATGAGCTCAACTCGCTTCTTGACACATGATAGATGCAGGTTGGATATCAGCACGGTTGTATGCTTTTTAAATGTCTTTATAATTCAAGTTTAATTTTGCAATGGAAACTATGCAGGTATACAGTTGATCTATTTTGAAATGTTTTTGAAAATCTGGGCCCAGTAAAGGGCTTCCCAACAGGCCCTTTATTTGTAGCCCATCCTAAGAAACATAGGTAGATTTGGGGAACTGAATGCCGAATAAATATCAGTGGACGTGGATACTGAAAAGGTGGGGATAATGTCTCTCTGCCTGAGTTTTCTTTTTCCCCCATTCTGCCAGGAATAGCATTTTTATACTCCTCCCAAGATTCTTCCCAAAGATATTTTTCCTGTTTTGCAGTCTCAGGGGAAGCCAGAAATAGCTACTATTTATCTTTCAATTATTTTACGTTTTAGGTTATTTGTGTATCCTTAAAAAATATGACCCTCTGTCTCTTATCTGTAATAGGAACTAAACTATAGCAACCAAGGAAATGCTTTATCCTAAAAAGGTAACTCTTCTACCTAGCAAGGAAAACACACTCACATCCTGAGACAGGCTTTCAATTGCCATTCAGACATAATTTCCAAGCTTCCTCTGAAACTGAGGATGATTTTATTCCTTGTTTATAAAATGAAGATGTGCATCCCCATGGCTGGAAGCAAAACTACAACCTCCTGCAGTATCTTACATTTTTATTAGTTAAGAGTATGAATGAGAAACCAACCAACGCAACAAGCTGAATAAGATAATGTAACACTATAAGGGAAGAGGCAAGAGATTGAAGCCATAGATAGGAAGAGGTAGAGTGGAGAGAGTCAATGACTCAGATCTAATCTCCAGCTCTGCTGCTTGTTAGCTGGGTACATTCTTAAAGTCTTCTCAGCTCAATTTTCTCCACTCCAAAGGAAGGATAAGAATCTTCCTACCTCATGTGAGGATCAAACACGGAGGCTTGTAAATGATGCATGTAGTCTTGGTTAGCACATAATATATTCTAGTGGCCATCTGTGCTGGCTAGTTTTATGTCAACCTGACACAAACCAGAGCTACCTGAAAGGAGGAATCTCAATTAAAAACCTGCAGGGCATTTTCTCAATTAGTGATTGATGGGGGAGGCCCCAGCCCATTGAGGGTGGTAGCATCCCTGGGCTGGTGGTCCTGGGTTCTGTAAGAAAGTAGGCTGAGCAAGTCATGAGGATCACCCCTCCATGGCCTCTGCATCAGCTCCTGCCTACAGGTTCCTGCTCTGTCTGAGTTCTGGTCCTGACTTCCTTCCATGACAAATAGTGCTGTAGAAGTACACCTTGAATAAACCCTTTCCTCCCCAAGTTTCTTTAGCCATAGTGTTGTATCACAGTAATAGTAACCCTGATTTGGACACTATCATTATCACTGTAATTGTTAGAGCAAGGTAGGAGAGATTATACCTTACTGTATTCTTAGTACCTCACACAGTTCCTGGGCAAGAGAAGACCTCAGTAAATATTACTGAGTGACTAAATGAAGAGCCAGACGATCAAGAGGACACCCACATACAAAGTTGTGACTAATGACAGTTGCTGTAAGCCACCCGGCACCCCCCCCCTCCCCAATCCCTCAGTCTCTCAAAGCAGAAATAGCAAATGGCCATCTAATTACTTGGTTTTGTGCTCACTAAATAGTGAATGTGAACTTAAAATAATGAAAATGAATTAGTTCCTGAGGACACCTAACAGCCCCTTTTGTTTTTGTTTGTTTGTTTTTTGTTTTGTTTTTTCCCTCTTTGGCCAAAGGTGTTTTTCATCAGTAACTTGCTAGCTTAGGGAATTAAAGGTATTTTTGAAAATTAGAGGTTCACGGGCTACAGAAACCCACAGAGACAGCTGACCCGAACAAGGAGGAGCTAACGGGCCCCCAGATTGATAGCTGGGAAACCAGCATTGTAGCGACTCAGACCCCCTGAACATGGGTCTCAGTTAGAAGGCCTGGACAGTCTAAGGGACCTCTGACAGTAGAACCAGGTTGTATCCCTGGTGCACAAAAGGACTTTGGAAGCACATTCCCCATGGAGGGATACTCCCTTAGCCTAGAGGCAGGAGGGAGGGCCTATTCCCTACTCCACAGGGAGGGTGAGGCCTTCCAAGAGGGATCAACAAAATCTGTCAAGTCATTTGGAGTAGGGATGTGAGGGTGGCTGGGGAGCATGGGAGGGTGGGAGAGAGAGAGGGAGGGAGAGGGAACTGGGATCAATATGTAAAATAAGAAAAATAAATAAATTTCGAAAAGAAAAAAAAAACAACAAAAAATAAAATTAGAGGTTCATTTTTTTGTTTAAAGTTAAAGTCATTAAGATTTTTCCACTCATTGACATGGATTACACACACAGATACACACAACATACATATATACATACATATACAATGGGTTCCTAAGTGGAAAATCAAAAACATATCTTAAAATTATGTCATATAACCTGGGAGTAGGGCAATTAATCAGTCATCTGTCAGTAAAACAATTGCTGTCCAACTGGAAGGACCTGAGTCTAGCTCCAGTACCCATGTAAAAGCCTGGCATGTCTACAGTCCCCTACAGGAGAGATGGAGACAGCAGAGATGGAGACAGGAGAGACGGAGACAGGAGAGATGGAGACAGCAGAGATGCAGACAGGAGAGATGGAGACAGCAGAGATGCAGACAGGAGAGATGGAGACAGGAGAGATGCAGACAGGAGAGATGCAGACAGGAGA